ATCACCAGCCAACACCACAGTATCCGTGCTTCTTCTGTAACGAAGGGGCTCGTGCAGTTGCTGATAGAAATCATCTTTTACCGAATCAGTGCTACAGTTTGTAGGGGCGTAAGCCGCAATGACAAACAGGCACCGTTTGTCCCCGCGCGATTTCGTAGCACGGAACGAACCAGATAATCTAACGGCACACATCCTACTGTTTACTGGGATCCAATCAATCAGGGCAGCTTCAGCCCGGGGACTCAAAACAATGCCGACGCCAGCTTGACCGGCATTTGAAGCTGTATCATCGCCAGACAGGCGCAATGAGAATGTGCCGCCAGTGGCGCATGTGAGGGATCTCAGGGTAAATACGGAGCTCGAATCTTGCAGGCGGGTTTCTGATAAACAGCAAATATCGATCGATAGGGTCTCTAGTGTACGGGCAAGTGCTGCCTGTTGGCCAATCTGCAACAAAGTGCGCACGTTGAAGCATGCCAGTCTTAGCGAGACGCGAGGACTCCAAAGGGAAACGGATGAACTGACGTTGTCCGCTTGCTTGAACATGGACTTGTCAACTGGATTGGAGCGAGGCCCTGGGATTGTGTGTGATTTGAAATTAGAAGACAAGCGACTACTGAAGAAAGCTGGGGGAGGGCCAAGAATTGGGGGATTGAAAATGGGGGGGGATATAAGTAAAGTTGGAGCGGGACGATAAGGATGAAGAAGCGCGAGAAGGGGTATAAGAAGACGGGAAGGCCTGAGCAGTAGCATCCAAACCCCTATCCACCCTGCTCGATGCAGCAGATAGGGCGCCGTTTATTATCCTCTGCGACGGCCAGAGCATCAAGAAATTGTTGTAGGAAAGTTTCATTGTATTGCGTGGGCAGAATACTGTCAGGTTGCCCAGGCCTAGACAGGAGAACGATTAGGGTTCTCAACCAAAGCCTTTGGTTCAAAAACCTTACCGCAAGGCAGCGGGTTTTGGCACTGGACTACGGAGCCCGTCTTACGAAATGAGGAGCCACCCCCATTCCAACCCCCAACCTGGAGGACCAGGAGGCTGAGTTTGTCTGGCCTCTAACCATTGACCAATCTGGTATGAGTGGTTCTGTAGGTGCAAAAGCACCACCCAGCATAGCTCAATGGATCTCTGAGGCACGCAAACCATCGCACCACGGTAAGGTCCAGCCTCATTGCTTCGACTATGTCTGCGGGCAAGTTATTCCGAATATTCACCACCCTCCGCTCGAAGCAGAGTTGGTGAGTGACCCCTTCAAATCGGGTACGACAAGCTTGTATCGGTGTCCTCGTGTACTGCTTGGTGTGCGCAGATGAAGCAGCGGCCTCATCAATTATCCGGTGCGTCATGATGAGGTCCACCCGCATTCAACGATAAGACAGGGTGTATAACCCTATTCTCTTTCACCGGTCTTCATATATGGCACACCTCGTAAACCGGCGATTAGCCTTGTGTCAACATGCAGTTCCCGCTCAATCCTTTGCACTTCTCTCCGGGTGAGCGGACAGTGGGCGGATGAGCTGTACTCTAGCATTGGTCTGATGGTAGAAGCGGCGGGTGGCAACCTCTTCTGATCAAGTGCAGAATTTGCATTTGAGCACCCAGAGCATGCGCAGTCCGTTTTGGTAAAGCCTGTTCATGTTTTCAACGGATTTCAAATCGCAGCGTTAGAGTACGCTGAGATCTTTCACGGATGGCGATGGATGTAACTGTTGGCCGGCCAGATTGTAGACTCGGCCATTACCACGCTTGTCCAGGCTCATGAATACCGACTTGACCGGATGATTGACCTTTGCTGACCACATGGAGAGGCGGTCAAAATCACGTTGAAGTAGCTCGCAGTCGTCGGGGGCCTCAATTATCCTCCACACCCTAAGGTCATCTGCACATAACGCACAATGTGAACTAAGAAGCTGAGGCAAATCGTTAATGTGGATCAGGAACAAAATGTGCCCAAGGACTGTGCCCTGTGGGACGCTACTGGTCGAGCGATACCACTCGGTCAGGTGGTTGTCCAACACCGCACATGTTCAGCTTCCGAAGGAGGATCTCATGGTTTACCTTGTCAAACGCTTTACTGAAATCGATGTAAATGACGTCAACCAACATTTCTTGGTTTAGCGCTTGAAGCCATTCGTGCCTCGAGAGCAGCAGGTTTGTGATGCATGACCGATCTTTCATGACACCATGCTGCACGGGCTTCAAGATACTTCTCGACTCGCGATGCTGCAGCAGACCACGCTTCACGATCTTCTCGTGTGTCTTAGCCAAAACAGAGGTCAGACATATCTGCCGGTAGTTGTCCACCTTGCTCGGAGCGCCGCCTTTCGGAATTGGTTTCATCACTGAGCATTTCCAGTCGCTCGACAATGAACCGGTGGATAGCGACCTGTTGAATAGCTCAGTCACCGAACGCGAGATGATGGCCGATAGCGATTTGAGGATCAGCGGGCAGGCTTAGTACCGTCATGACTGGCGAGCAATTTGCGCACACCCTCAGCGCTGCAATCCAGGCTGTCCAGCTCGGTAGGGGCGATATGCGTCGTACACGGTACGGATGCCTGGTCATTTGCAAAAACAGAAGCGGAGTGCACCGCCAATGCAGAAGCACGCTCAGTACTGGAAACTAGTGGTTGTCCGTCCGAGCTCTTCAACACAAGCACATCACCTGTCGGCTTCAGGCGTCGCTTCACGTATGCGAAGATCCCCTTGGGAGGTGTGTTTGCTGCGCTTCCAATTTACTCTTTAAAGCAGCGGCGTTTGCTCCTTTTCGCGCTGTTGCAGGCATTTCGTTGTCTCTTGTACGCTTCGTAATCTTCGGCAGAGCCAGATTGCACGAATTTATTCCATAGCCGGTGTCTCCCTCGAGCCAGTTTGCCATACTCCTTGTCAAACCAGTGTGGTTTGACTGGTTCAGCTTTCCGATATCTGAGGGGCACAAATCGGGCGCACAATGTTTTTGTTCCCTCTTTTATAATAGACCAACAGGCCTCAGTTGATGAATTCTGTGGTGCCGACCAGTCTATCATACTGGCGGCTCGAATGCAGCCATTAAAGCCCGCCTTCCAGTACTTGAACGCTGGCTCCAGCGGAGGAATAAACGGCAGTGGCAGCTCCAAGCTCGCCTTTACCATCGAGTGGTCACTAGCTGCCAGGGGCTTTGAGACTTGAACATCACTCACATGTTGATCGCAGCTGGTCAGCAACAAGTCCAGGCACGATGGAGTCGAGCGCGTGATAATGCGCCTCGGCTGATTGATATGCTGTGTGGCCTCAGTTTCAAACTTCATCTCGACTTCGCAGTGACCGAGGAGAAGCTCGACCTCGGGTCACCGTATTCGATGAACGTTGAAATCGCCCATGAGCCGGAAGTACGGACGACTCATTTGGTTGCGCACATGGGATAACCAGTTCAAGCTGTGGCTCAGTAGACTGCGATACACAACACCCACGGGGTTTTCACCAGGTCTCAGATAAATCGAACACCATAGCTGCTCACACAGACCATCACTGCTTCTTTAGATGCTCACGAGTATTCCGCACAAGGAAGACCCTATGTATAGCAGCACTTCACCGCGGTCATTTGATAGCCTATCACAGCGGAAGCAGGAACACCCACTGCTTTCGATTTCTTGGACGGTTATTTCTGAATTTAACCAAGTTTCAGCTAGACCCAATACGTCTGGTTTCCGAGCGGCAACAAAGTGGTAAAAGTCGTAACGTTTGTTCATTAGACTCTAAACATTCGTAAATGCTACACCCTGGCCGCGGTAGAAACCGTCGGGCGTGCATGAAGCATTAGCGACCTGTTCATCCGGATTCGGGGAGGAATCCGGGTAACTATTCGAAAATTTACAATGCGGTGATTTGTTTCCCGCCTTCAATGCACCGCTTTAGTTCAATCACGGCAGGCTTGAGATTTTCTCGGTCTGCTGGATCCATGTCTGCGCGCACATCAATCTCCAAACCCTTAAATCTACTAAAGCGCGATACTGTCATCTTCGTCAGCAAAAGTGACTCTCATGGGTCCAACTTTTCCCTCAGGCAGGTACTTTGCATCACTTTCAGCCCGTATTCGCCGATGTCGAGCAGTCTATCAACCAGACTCTACAGAAACTCGACGTCGTGTTCATAGCGAACCTGAGGGCTCGAATCTGACGATTCATGTGCGTGGAAGACCAAAAGTTGCGACGCCTCAGACCGCTAGACGTCGTTTTCGGTTTCTTTGACGTTTGCATTTGCCAGAGTTCATCACTACCTGGCTTGTTACACATTCGAGTTGCAGTGTACGTCGAGAGACTAGAGGGTGATAAAAATGGGCTACTCGGCAATCTAGGAATTCGCTCAACAGAGCTGGTGGTAAGTGTGTAAGGTGCTTGTATCTGTGCCTTTTACGTAGAACTTACAGAGCAGCGGACCGGTAAACGGTCCGTTGACTAGGTTTCCCGGGGGGCTTGGGTTACACTGGCACTCCTTTCATGTAATCTTGACAAAACCGTGCTGAATCTCGCGGATAACGCAAAACTTGTCCACAGGAAGACCAATACACGAAATGTAAAAGTTTACCTGGCAGACACCACATGAAACAGCGTTTGCACGATGACCAACGATTTTAGAGCGAATTCCACAGAGAGGCTGCTTCACCATTTTGGAAACTGGTGACCCGATGACCTCTCCATTAAGTTATGCTATTGACTGACAATATGAAATCTAGGTTGTTCTTCATAATGCGTTTCTCAGTTACACTTCTTAGGAAAGCCAGGTTCATCCATGTAAATCGGTGTAATTGATAGACCAATTTACGTATGTCGATGCTGTACTCCGTAGCAACCTACAGCTCTCTAGTTACCGTTGAGTCCTAGTCTTTCAAAATTTGGTCTATCGCCAATTCGATATATTATGCTGCTCCTTCCATTTATCGTTTGGTATAGATGCCTAGTCTGGATTTCATCTACTTGATATGATTTCGTTTTTCTTTCTTTTTCTTCAACGTCTATAGGCAGTCCCACTTTCCCAAAGTAATAAGACCGCTCTGGACCACTTTGATCGCTTCTACTCTCATGCTTACGGCCCCTCATCTTGGTCTGTCATGCGTGTCGCACTGCTTGCTCCACCCTTCAAGGTTGCAGTGCTAAATCGTTATTGTCCAAAATTCGATGCGGTCGCTACATCTGGTATCGGTGCATTCCATTTGGATCTTATTGATATATTACAAAAATGTCAACATGTACCCTATACAACTCATGAACTTTCGGCTTCCTCAAACCACCGGATCCCGACGGAAGACTGCGTAGACTTGGAAAAAGATCTACCTGATCAGGTAAGCAATGTTCTCGGACGCATTTTACGTTGCACTTTTTCCGTATGTCTCTCAACTGATAGTGAATGTCTAAATTGAAGTGCTACTTCTACGGCAGAATCATAGCTATTTAGGCCTACACACCTGGACGAATATCGTCTCACTCGGCCGGTGGCCGAGTGGTCTGCGCGCCTGGTTTGCAAACACAAGTTCACTGGTTCTAATCCGCTTAGTGGTGTGCGTCGTCGCGGTATACTCAACCCACGCGCGCTCACAAACCCACACTAGCTCTAACTGATGAAGTAAAATGTCTTAACTGGGTAACGTCTCCCCACATACATCGTTGAGGCATACTACTTTAAGCCTGCAATTACAATCTCACCTGCACTTAGGAAAGCAAACAGAATCGAAGACGCTTTGACTCGATTACCTTTGAGTATCTACCAGATTAGATAGTGAAACTTGTGTAGTTAGTTCATTTACTACTGTATATTAATGAAAACCAACAATAAACACCAACCTCCCTTGAGAAATAGGGAGAGATCTACTCCATTCTAAAGTTAAACTTCTGATTTTCGAAAGATAGCCCAATACATGTGGTCACCATCTTTCTTACTCTACTTGACACGCGGAGCCCAGTCTCGATGACAGCTGTCTACTGTGAGAATCCAGAACAATTATGCCTCAGTTGCGACACTGTAGCTAGGAAGATGAGCCGGGCTATATCATGCTCAACCGTCAGTCATGCAGCTCCGCGGCTGTCACCTATGGCGAAGTGGCACTAACTGCTGACATCCGGAAGTAATGGGGGCGGAACCTGACAGGGGTCCGCTGGAAGACGCACCACTGACGAGACCCAGAAGGTCGAAATACCGGTGTCTGGTGTTTTTCCAGACTTGCTAAAGCCTGCCGACTGAGTGGACAGTGAGATGCTAGTTCTAATTATGCAACTTTTACCCAGAAACTGCCAGAATGATGGGCAAACATTGACAGTGGCATAAAAAATTAATCTGTGGGAAACAAATTGCTCCACTTGTTTCCTCTCGGTAGCAAATTCAACGAGAAAATCGGTAATGGGAATCTGTGCTACTTGGCAAAGTGGTATAGGTCCTGCTCTTGTGCCCAATATTGTTTGCAGAACGATCCCCTTTATACCATTGGAAAAGAGGAAATTCTTTCCTTACCTTTAACTTGGGGAGCTTCCCCTAAGGGGGGCTACTGTGGACATTTTTTTGCACCCATTGGCCAATCGAGTTTTATGGATAAAACCTCTTCAGACTTAGGTGGCTCCGGCTTACAAACTGTCCTGGTTCTGTAGAACAGGCGCTTCCAACTCAACCAAGCGGTAGTCCGCGTCGTTTCTTTGTTTCAGTGCCCAAATAACACTGCGAAATACAAGGAAGGGTTTAGGATTCCGTAACATTGTTCATTACCGATTGGATAACTGGAGAAACGCAGCGCAGCGAGATCGCGTTTGGTCGATGGGGTTACTACAGCGGAGTAGTCTTCCATATGATAAGTGCAAAATAACTGATAAAACATCTCATTTCAAACACGCACTAACAGTTTGGGGTGAAACAACCAATATGTTCGAAATTTCAGACGACACTTGGAAGCGATTGAGAAGTTGTGAGTTAAGAGAGGTTTAGAAGCAATCGATTATTTCCCAACCTCTTTGAACTCGTTCACTGTGCTGCTACATGTGCTGTTACGATTTCCGCTGACCATACGAATGACCTGCTGGTGTTGCGCAATCTAGAGCGGCTGAACTCCCAAATCAGAAGACAAAGGCCTCCGGCAACAAACTGTATTGAAACACCCGGCAAGCAGTATACACAAACAAATAATGGGGTCAAATAAGTAGTTTGTAAGTGCATGACATAGCTGGAATTTCCTGGATTTTAGCAGCTACTAGATGTCTGATGATACACTTGTTGGTTGCCAAAAGAATGCACTCATTGACCGGATTCAAGGTGAAATGTCCTCATTGGCTGCCTACTAAGCTTCAGGCCACTTCTGAGTCAAACTGCTCCGGGCTGCTAGCAAGAAGCGCCGGCTTCAAAGGCTGCTATGAACTGGCCTCTTTGATATGTACTGTACAGAGGTGTGGGTCTTCCTCTGTTCGCTCAGTGTAAGGCGCACCCACACCTAAACAATTCAACACCTATTGGTTGGTTATGGAGGTCACGTGGAGCTAGTATAGTTGATAACTTCGGGCACTGAGGTCACACAGAAGGGCTACATTCTCACAAAGATGAGGCGATTGGAATCATAAGAAGGGAACATCGTGTTCACAAACTAGGAGAACCACGATTATTTTACATCGACGTTGTGGCGTATCCCCACTGGCGCCACAGCCATTTGAAGTGGCCAAACGAACTTTGGGAGGAAGCACATGGCCCACTAAATGGAAAGAGCTTTCTTCTTCGTGCTCGACGCTGCATAAAATTGGTTGAAGTATCTCCCTTCACGTGCGCCACTTCAGGGACGACGACCATATTGTGCATGCTGACTAGTATTAGTGCACTCGGTGTAACAATCATGCCGGATAACGGATACCCATTCACCAGCCAAGAAATCCATGTTCCTCTAATGCAACGGTATTTGTCACTTGGAATCAACCTCTTTCCATCCAGGTCGGGTTGGCAGAAAGGACAGTTCAGGCAGTCAAGAATGGGTTACAGAAACGCTCACTTGCTCCATTTGAAAGAGTATAGACAAATTTCTGTTTGTTTACCAGCTCACGCCGAATGAAACGACTGGGAACGGCCAAGGAGTGGATGCGACTCAACTTTCTCTAGCAAGGGCTTCCACTGTGTTCTAACTGCCCTGGCGTTCGTTGGTCTGTCGATCGTTATCTGGCAAGCACTCTCCCTATAAAAAGCTACATATATCCCTTTAAGAACACTGCGACGTGGTAGATGTGACTCGCCACTAATTAAAGTCACTACCCCTTAGTGCACTTTGCTGGAGCATTGTATCCAGCAACGCGAACCTGAAGTTGTGATGAAGATCGGACCCCTGTTTCTCAACCGACAAAACGAAAAGCGATTGAACTGAGCAATAAGTCACCAGCTCTCAATGGGTGCGATTCCTTGAATTTACCCCACTGCCTTGCGCATAGGCTATTTAGCAAAAGGCTCGGCGTGGTGTCCCCAAAGTCGACACCCTACTTCGGTTTGGGTAACCGGGTTGTAGCATGCCCTCTGACGAAACCATGCATTTCTCTGTTGTGTTCTGTTTTCTTTTTATGGCCTGTATCTTCCTTTACTTTACATGCTTTTTGGTGGCCCTTTGTCTGTTCGTAGACTGCTGATTATATATATATATATATATATATATATATATATATATATATATATATATATATATATATATATATATATATATATGGTTGGCGGCATCCATTTTCGGATTTGCCTGTCACTGTTGCCAGCCTCAGAAAGCCTGCGGCCTACAGAGGGATCATGGGTCATTTGCACTGCACCATCCACAGCTGTAATCACACCCCCTATATCCAGCGTAAACCCGAAGGATTATGATCGGGAGGCATGTGGATGGGAACCACGTTTTATCAACGGAGCCGGCCCACAGGCAAACACAAGCACGCTGTATTTGGGAGTCAAGCACACAAGGCGGTGGCTGGACCGTAAACCGCTCCACACTGAGTGTATGGAACTAATCTTCGAGCCTAGCACGGCCACGTGGAACGTGCACCCCGTACCCTCCAGCTACGACCAACTGTCTCCTGGAGCCAGTATGAACGATGTAGTGGGTAATAGACAGGTAGGCACCTTGTCAACATGCACATCAAGCGCAGCCACACCGGGGATATCAAACAACAGCCAATCACTTGAAATGAGATTATCAAATAAAATATCTGTTAAAGCATACGGCTATGCCGACATAACTCTTCGCTAAATTAGCATATGAAGTAAGTTGGTTAGCAATGAATCCGCGATAAGTACAAAATGTTCAGAAGTTCAATTTTTCAACCCGAGCTACCAGTATTCCGAAACATGTTGAGAAGTTATTCAAAAATTTCAAAATGTTAACGAATGCAATCACAATTAGCGTAATCTACGTGTGCAAGTTAATAGACTATTCATGTAGGCAGAACAAACCAACTAAAGTGGGATGAATTTTATCCGGCTTAAAAAGACATAGTTTAAGTGTACATATATATATATATATATATATATATATATATATATATATATATATATATATATATATATATATATATATATATATATATATATGCACGCCACACTACCTAGGGTGTTGAAACTAGGGGGAGGAGAACTGTGGTATACCCGACATCGACGCTGATCACTCGATCCATTCTGCTAATCGGCTGTTCTCACGCACATTCGTAAATGTCTGTCTCCCACAACCCACTAGTTGTTTTATCCTTAGCCAATCGATTGACGCATTACACCAAACATTGATCAGAAAAAGTTTGCATACTGCTGAAACAGTTATCTTTTGTTTTTGGTAAATTCGGCCTCGAACCAGCTACTGCGTTTTACTCTGATCGTATTTTACACTTTTTAGGTTGTAACGCGATCATCATTTAAACTACATGTAGATGAGGCTTGAGAACAGCCTTCAGAGATAGGGTTTTAGCTGCAACTGTTTTATTACTTAGCCTGATAACAGTACATTCGCTACTATGACAACCAGCACGGTAAACAACCCACCTCCCTCATCTGGGATGGCGGTCTATCTGGAGCATCTCGTTACTAACCTCCACTGTGAAGACAGTTTCATTTTCTGGCACTAGGTCCACATTGGTTACGCCGTTCATTCACTACTCATTTTGGTTGAGGCTCATTCCAGCTCTGTCGTCCCGTCTCTACCGTGGTGACTGACCATTATACGCTTTTTCTAGCCTTCAGGTAAGTTATATTATCATCTGACAAGCTTTTCTGATTTTTCCCCGAAGCTCGATCTGTCCCGTCAGTATTTGACCCGTGCCAGTGGTCCCGTGAGTGAGCTGGCAAGTCTATCGGAATTTGTCCCGGTCACGGAGCTGGTCAGCGAAAGCGAAGTTTTCACTCGTGAATGTGATGATGACGTCACTTTCTCATCTGCAATTGGGAACACTCCTCACCTATCCAACTGTGGAACCTCATTCGACGCGGTCGAAGAGGACTGGAATTTACCCAAGTCCCTTCGAGTCAAATGCCCTAGAAAAGGCAGGGTTGCAGACTTTATCAGACCACAAGCTGTGGATGGACACTTCGGCAAGTGAGATATTTTAAGCGCTTACATATTGTTTGTTGGACTCAATCAACCTGACGCTTAGTTGGTGTTGGTCGTCTCTGTTACTCCGGTTCGAATCCGTGTAGGGACGGGCGTCCTCGTGGTATGCTCAGCTCACATGCGACTGGTGGTGATCGCATGGCATCGAAATGTCGTTCCGACTTACAGCTGATACATCATCACTGTACATCATCACTCTTCCTCTATACTTTAATAATAGTGCTAATAATAACACATTTGTAGGATACATTGTGACACAGACAGAAGCGGCGTTTTTCAGGCTCACGTTTCTTAAATGCGTCATCATGTTATTCCCCATCACGACTCCATTCGTGTTGTCTACAGTGTTTGCGGCAAGTGATTGGCACTGGGGTGCCTGCACGGTGATTAACTGTAAGAAATTCTCCAGATCGAAAGTCGTCTGTACCCTACCATCCCTCGTGTTTGACGCAAGCTCGTATTCTCTGTGTGTGTGAGTGCGCGGGTGCGTATACAACTTTAACGCCCACCTCGTGTTCTACTTTGGGATTCTGATACGAGCACCTATTGATATCGACCGTTTTCATTTTGTGAACCTTCCCCTCTCCACACATTCGCTCTGCGACGCCTGAAGCGAAATCATGCGCGTTGTCTGTGTGTAGGTTTTCGTGCGCAATTTTCTCCACTTCTCCGTGTCCCGTGCATGTGCGTGACCACAAAATGACCTCGACCGCCCTACTCCACCATTCGCCAGACGGCCTTTGGTACTTCATCCCATTCGCCAAACGACCACTCATTGCACCGGAGTGTCGCATTCCAGACCACATTTCACTGGGCATTTGTCCACACATGGTTTCGGCTATGCTCATATGTACTTCTGATGGGTTACATGGTTGGCGGCATCCGGTTTCGGATGTTCCTGTCACTGTGGCCAGCCACAGGACGCCTGCGCCTACAGTGGGACCATAGATGGCTTGCGCTGCACCACCCACAGCTCCATACACACACCCCATATGCAGTGTAAACCCGAAGGATTAAGACCGGGAGGCCTGCGGATGGGAACCACATTTCATCAACGGAGCCGGCCCACACTCCTTCACAGGCAAACACAAGCACGCTGTAGTTGGGGAATCAAGCGCACACAAGGCGGTGGCTGGACCGTGTCCGCTCCGCACTGAGTGCATGGAACCACTCTTCGAGCCTAGCACGACCACAAGGACCGTGCACCCTGTCCCCTCCAGCAACGATCAACTGTCTCCTGGAGCGAGATGGACGAGGTAGTGGGTAATCTACAGGTAGGCACCTTATCAAGATACACATCAAGCGCAGCCATACCTGGGATGTCAAGTAACAGTCAATCACTCAAAATGCCGATAACGAATAAAGTAAACGCATATGACGACATAAATACTCGCTAAATGAGCATATAGAAGAAATTGGTTAAAGGTGAATACGCGATAATTACAAAATGTCCGAGTTATTTAAAATATACCACGCGATAAAATTACGCAAGTTTTCCAGAATTTGCATGAGCGACGTGTGCAAGTTGGGGAGAAGATTATCAAGTACGCAGTACAAAGCAATATAAAGTGGAATGAAATTTTATCCGCATTAAAAAGACCTAGTTTAAGGGTAAGTTGGTTTAGCCCAACTGCGGTGAAGAAGCATCATGAATGCTACATCAGACTCAGCATGGGGCACACACTACATACATGGTTGGCGGCATCCGTTGAGCTTTTCTCTGATACAATTGTTGCCAACCTAAAAGCACTTCACAGTTGAGGATCGTCGCATTATGTAATTAGTGTTATGAAATTAGCACCGTAAGCTTGGATCCACTTTAAGTCTTGAACTATTCTGGATTGTTTCGTACGCGTGGTTCCACCGCGTTTTGGTCGTTCAGTGCCTGCGTTTCAGTTGTCGTGAATTACACTGATCTTAATCATGTTACGACGGTTTACCGTGCCTCTTCGCACCCCCTGAGAAAGATTGGTGTAGCACCTATGAGGAATTGCGAGCTACTCTGATCGAGGAATGCTTAGAGGTTAACTCAAAACACGATCTTCTGAAAATCGCGAAGCCGGGATAACGCTCATTAAGATGAAATTAGCCCGCCTTGTGTAAAGTTTGGAAGTAATCGACTGACGGAAGCAGCTTATCGTCCTCTTATGTTTAACCACACTGCCATTATCCCAACCCTCATGCGACCAGCACTACCACCTTTAGCTTCAGCTTCATCCCAGGTCAACTGCGTTGCATTTCCAGAATGGTCGGCTTATCTTCTGCTTATATCCCGGTGGGTGGATGATAACGGACTACTATTTATACATCCCTATCACTTTTCCTCTTTAGCGGCTTTTATCCTAGTTACTAACTCTTCGGTAATCAACCACATGAACCACGACAGCTACAGATTCGCTGATGTTTCCCCACATGAATCGATTCCACCACAGCACCCAGCAGTCTCCCGGGATCCAATATTGTTTATCGAGCCAGGCCGATCAGTTTCCTTGTTTGTGCTCAAGTTTCACACCATGAAACCAAATAGAACATATCCGGATAGCACCTCTGGGTATTGAAGTGTATAGCTTAGAATGCCAACCCTTGAGGCGTTATTGAACTAACAGCGGTCAACCTGTCCATAAATAGTGAGGCGCCGCTCACAAACCAAACTTGGATGTGTACCACCAATGGTCTGAAATTCAGCCTTCAATTTTTGTTTGGGTTACCATGAACTCCCACATTGTGCGCAGCCCGACTGACAACTTCGGCAAAGAGTGGCGCACCGAACACAGCCGATCGCTGTTTGGTCGTGATTGTGTATCATGGGAACACGACTCGTGGCAAATCGTCTAATGTATGTACTAAGGATTTCTGTAATGTTTCATTTGCTGCTTCCTAACCCCAAAGATAAACGCAACAGCTGCATTATTTTTGATGGCGCACCAAACACGGTCGACACAATAGCTGAGGTGTTTCTTCACCTGGAGCTAGCGTGTATATTCAATGAATGGAACGCGATCGGTTAGCTTGATTCCTCGTACATTACGCCGGAATAAAAGTGCGGGTCAATTTGCGTGCATATTCGCCACAGGTCGTACCGGGGCTACATCGTCTTAATTTTGTTTGCCGTTTTCTCGATATATGCATGCTTACTGTTCGGAGCACTTCAGTTCAGTTAAACGAGCCTAATGCGGTCGACGAAGTGCAGTGGATCCAGTTGCCGCGACCGACGTCGCCAGAATAAAACTAGCTGAGCATAGCGGAGAAAAATCAAACTGAACACGAGTATAATGCAAAGAAAGTAGCCTTGAGAGAGGGGTGCGTTAAACTAGACGTCGTGGAGTCGAAATCAACAGCCGGTTGCGAGAAAACACCACTGACTGCACCGTGTCCGACAGAGTCTCTAGTCATTGGCGTGGACCACCTGCTGCCCCATCCAGGAAGACGGCATTTACCAACCAGACCATATCTCTCAGACAATTTCTTCATGCCTCTGTGCGATGTCGTGGACTGGCTACCTCGCAATTACGGCGTGTAATCCACACCGAGGAAGCCGATCAGTGGACACGCCGAGAACATGGCCTAGCCAACGCAAACGATTAAGATGCAACAAACACTCGAGAGAGGCACCAGGTGGCTTATTGTCAGAAACGAACTGTCGGACCTCAGCGTCGCTCACCCGGTGTTCCCACCAGATATGAGCAATAGTCTGCAAGCACCGGTGGTCACTCATGGCTAAGCGTTTAATGTCCGCCGCGAATTGACTAGGTCTCTGATCTATACAGTAAGACCTGCCTTACCGCAGAGTTATACACTCTACATTTCACTGACAGCCTGGTACTCCACCGTCTCTATTGATGGTTGAGCCTTTAGAAAGCTACACAGAACTTGCTCACATCCAAAGTAACTTCTTCAGT